AAAAAAAAAAAAAAAAAAATGGCACATGAAAGAAAATTAAACACAAGTTAAAGTAAAAATATTTCCTACACATATGTACATCACAAATGTTCCCTCGCCACAAAAGAAACGGAACTTCTCGGTATGCTTTCAGTATAGAATTGTTTTTATAATTTAACCAGCTTAGCAAAACTTGGTCAAAGAATGGTATCAGGGTGTTAGAAAAATGCTTTTTTTGTGGAGAGTAGAGGAAAGATTTAATACAACAATTGCTTTAAATGCAAAATAATTTTATACTGAATATCATAAACCGGGCACTGTTATTACAACACCAAAGACGTGACAGTGTATGGAAAACTGGTTGATCAACATCGGTTTTACTCTTCCAGGTGGGAATTCATATTGTTTCCAGCTGACTGCTGATGGTACATTTCAACTATGGCATTGTGACCAAAACCACAAGTTCGTTTGCGTTTATGGTACGTTTTGTGATAAGCATTAAAGTACGGTATATTACATTTCCTGTTATGCTCACGTTTTATTTAAATTATACAAAACAAAAAATACACACAGACGTTCTGGTCACTGACCTTATTACCTGTCCTGATCAAGAGGTTTGCTATTGAACACATTCAGTGCTTCCGATGGTATTTTTTTTTCTCGCGTACGCCTTATGGTTTAAGTAATAAGTTACTAACATGCATGCAGTGCATTGAAGTAGAGACTATCAAGATTTTTTCATGCTGTAGATTATGGCGTAATCAATTTCCGTGTAACGAAAATGCACAGATCCTATTTATCAATGTTCGGACGATTGGGTAGAAAATCAATCATTGCATTTACGTGCTAATATACAACCTAAACGTCATCCACATGGTTGACGCCACGATGCCGATCGTATTCATTTTCAGACAGATACAATACCGCAAGAGCATGTCTACAAGATAATCTTACCATCACGTGTCCGGTTAACTCTACCATTCATATAGTGGACGCCTTGTACGGAAGTGAGCTACCAGGGCCCATGTGCACGTCTTCAGGCACCCAGAATAATTCTATTACAGCCTGCTATTTGACCCAAAATTACCAACAAGTTGTCGAAGTGTTTGAGAATGCTACCTCCGGGTCTATATCATTAATGAATTCATCATTCCACAATGAATGCCCTGGAGATTACACGTACCTTGAAGTCAAGTACACCTGTGTTTTAGGTATAGTAAATACTAAACTGTGTCAGAAATGGTAGTCTGCTGGGAACCGCAGTCCGTTCCCAGTTACTTTGTACAGTTGACATTCGTCCCCTAAACTAAACCAAATACTCCGACTAACCCTAACCTGTACCGTTTAATGGGATCTCGGACTTCCATTCTAGGACTACCATTACTTGGACTACAATTTAAAGCATTAACATTTCTTCGACTGTCATTCTTAGGAGCCATTCCTGTCTTGTTGTACAGGATTGCGCGCTCACTTTTGCAATGACACATTTTTAATTTATTTTGTTTTGCCCCCCCCCCCCAAAAAAAAAAAAAATCAACCATAGCTATGCAGTGACTGTTTGAAACACGCCTAAGAACATTAAGCATTACAAAAGCAATTTTTTGGATTGGTGTTTTTTTCATTGATTATCCTGTATGGCATCAAGTTGATTGGTTTGTTAGTCTTAATTATACGGGGGTATATGTAAATATATATATTTTTATAGTGCTGAATTCTTTTTCACTCTGATTGACATGTATCTTAGGAGAAAAATCTATCTATAATCATATGCACAATAAAAGAAACTTTTTCTAAATTCAGAGTGAAAGTATTTTAAAAAGATATTTCTGTTTGGTTTGTTTGAATTTCAGGAACATATAATACCAGCAGATGTGACTCCGTGGCAAACAGCGACAGCACCACCAGTCAAATCCCAATTTCCAGTGTCTCTGACACCCAGCCTACACTCACCGAGACCACGCCCGCAGTCAGTGAGACCACTCCCACCGTCACTGAGACCACGCCTACAGTCACCATAGTCACCAAGACCACATCCACCGTCACCGAGACCACGCCCACAATCACTGAGACCACGCCCACAGTAACCGAGACCACGCCCGCAGTCACCGAGAACGCGTCTCTCGTCACGGAGACCACGCCTACAGTGGACGAAACAACGCGGAATGTCACCGAAACCATAACAAGAGCCGGCGAAACCACACCACCTGTCACCAGAAATACACAACCTATCAACCAAACCACGGCTACAGTCGACGAAACCGCATCTCAAGCCAACAAAACCATCCCGATGTTGACAGCAGCTCCGCTAAGCTCCGCTTACTCTACGTCCTCCGACTATGAAACCACGACTTCCGCCGTTGAAATCACGCCAACCTTTACAGAAGTCACGCCCAACGTCTCTGTGGCCAGCTGTGCCCTGCCTTTTGCGGTTGACTCTCTGTCCGTCCTGAACATATCCAAGGCTAATCTTTCTGGAGCTCCCCTAGCGGACACAGAATCTTTCGATTCAATGAGTAACAAGATCATGTTCAGTGAAAACACCACGCTGATGGCCCGGTGCAAAGACGGCTACAGGTTTAATGATAAAACAAGAACAAAGGCGTTGACATGTTCCCAGAACGGCACGTGGAGACCGGATACTTGTAAATGTAATTATTACACGTTTCATCAACATGGCAGTTCAGCAACATGAAATTAAGAGGGGTGTGTCTACATGTAAAGCATCATTTAGACATGATGACAGACATGCATCTTAATCAAGAAGTCCACAAAACAAAAACAAGTGCGTTGATTACGAAAGTATTAGTCATGGTTGTCTTTCAATCGATTAAGTATTGGTTTTAAACGGTAATTTATCTTTACAGTGGTCACCTGTCCAACTGATCAGTTACTGAACTCTTCAAGCGTGGATGTAGAACCCTACAACAGTACAAGCTATGGCACCAAGATTCGGTACTGGTGCAGAGACGATAAAGTGTTTTCCACGGGGGGGCGCCAGCGGGTAGCCACGTGTTATGGCCACGGCCACTGGGAGCCTGAGCTGATGGAATGTTACAGTTGAGTAACATTTATAATTGAAATAGTTAGATGTGTTTCCATTTTATCGTATTTGTGGAAACATTGATATATATATATATATATATATATATATATATATATATATATATATATATAGGTGTGCTAGTAATTAAAACAAGTATAATACCATGTACTAGTACATTTGTATAATCCTGTATTAACGGTTTCCTGAGATGTATAATGAAGTGAAATTAGACGGTAAAAATCCAGTATCGACTTTAAGAACAATTAATCTTTATATGAATTGTTCTTCAGAACACTTCATAGGGAGTTCATTCAAATTATATATCAAATTGTATATTTACATATTCTTTAATTTCACAGACCAATCTGAGGTGAAGAGCGCATTTGCCATGCCAAAGCCTTCAAGGAAAACGACACCACCCAAAGAGTCACCACAGGGACCGGTCTACGGTATCACAGGTATTTTGTTCTTGCTATTTCTCGCCGGCAGCGTCGTGATCTCAGATTGCTTATCTATTGATCGACACACAAGACCCATGCGAAGAAACCTAAATTGCTTCTGGAAAAGGCACCGACGATTGAAGCGCAACGCCGTGCACGCCGTTAGGTGGGTCGAAGAGAGAGCGATTGAAAAAGGTCCAAGTAAAGTAATTGAAGGAAGTGATAATATGAAGTTCAGAAAGGCAAGAGGGGAAAGGAGAAGAGGACAAACCGGAACCGGAAGTGGGATTGAAGGTGAGACTGCTGGGAGAGCTGGTGGGGCGGGGTACTCACTGTCCGGACAGTAGGGTTCAGATTCAGATACCTTTGCTGATATACACCTGCACTAACAAGTTAGAATCGTGGGTATAGGCTACAAACTGCGTCGTAAAATAAACGAATAAATGACACAAATATATATTATTGATAAAGGACACTCGGGCTTTATATATGTACATGTAGGGAGCACTAGCTCTACTCATACATGTAGTGGCGGGGGTGAAGGAGTGAAGGGGGTGACCACAAACTTGTATGTTGGTATAAGAGGAGACGTATAGGCAGTGTTTACGGGGAATTGCGCAAATAACGTATAGAGGATAGTTCAATAGTTTAATGCATGTATTATAGTTGATTCATTATACAATTTATCGAGACCTTTTGACCTATAAGGTTTTTAAAAATTAAAGGGATAGCAACTCTTTTTACGAGAAAATATAAATAAATATATTGTAAACAACTCATGGAAATACAGTAAATTCTATTTTCCACCAAAACGGTAGAAATCGCAATTATTCTGGAATCTCTGCTTGCCAATGGACCACATGGCCTCCATAGATGGCTAATTTTCGAAATCTCAGATATAATAAGATATCATTACAAAAAAAAAAAAGAAAAAAAAACATCTTTATCGAAAAAGATTCGTCAACCACTGTTAGGTATGGGAAAATTGTCGTTTACCCCAAGAAAATATTAGGTCAAAATGAACAGTTGTTATCCTTTTTTTATTACTTAGGGCCCCTTTACACTGGACGGCGTCCTTTCTGCGTCCAGCAGTACGGCCCCATTTAAGAGTTAAAAAGTTAAAATACTTTACGTTACGATAACTGGCCGATCATAAAGCATTCATTCTGATACAAATTCAATGCTCGTGCTTCCTTATTAAGACCACAGCGATGCCAAATTTCATGGTCGCAGAAAGGACGCAGAAAGGACGCCGTCCAGTGTAAAGGGGGTATTAGTGTGCATTGGTTTAATACTTGTTTAAGAATTAATTAATCAGAATTTATTGAGATCTTCTTACGAAAATGTTTTGAATACTTAATCACTTAATGAATGTACTTTACTTTAATGAATGTGTCAGAATNCTTGCTATTTCTCGCCGGCAGCGTCGTGATCTCAGATTGCTTATCTATTGATCGACACACAAGACCCATGCGAAGAAACCTAAATTGCTTCTGGAAAAGGCACCGACGATTGAAGCGCAACGCCGTGCACGCCGTTAGGTGGGTCGAAGAGAGAGCGATTGAAAAAGGTCCAAGTAAAGTAATTGAAGGAAGTGATAATATGAAGTTCAGAAAGGCAAGAGGGGAAAGGAGAAGAGGACAAACCGGAACCGGAAGTGGGATTGAAGGTGAGACTGCTGGGAGAGCTGGTGGGGCGGGGTACTCACTGTCCGGACAGTAGGGTTCAGATTCAGATACCTTTGCTGATATACACCTGCACTAACAAGTTAGAATCGTGGGTATAGGCTACAAACTGCGTCGTAAAATAAACGAATAAATGACACAAATATATATTATTGATAAAGGACACTCGGGCTTTATATATGTACATGTAGGGAGCACTAGCTCTACTCATACATGTAGTGGCGGGGGTGAAGGAGTGAAGGGGGTGACCACAAACTTGTATGTTGGTATAAGAGGAGACGTATAGGCAGTGTTTACGGGGAATTGCGCAAATAACGTATAGAGGATAGTTCAATAGTTTAATGCATGTATTATAGTTGATTCATTATACAATTTATCGAGACCTTTTGACCTATAAGGTTTTTAAAAATTAAAGGGATAGCAACTCTTTTTACGAGAAAATATAAATAAATATATTGTAAACAACTCATGGAAATACAGTAAATTCTATTTTCCACCAAAACGGTAGAAATCGCAATTATTCTGGAATCTCTGCTTGCCAATGGACCACATGGCCTCCATAGATGGCTAATTTTCGAAATCTCAGATATAATAAGATATCATTACAAAAAAAAAAAAGAAAAAAAAACATCTTTATCGAAAAAGATTCGTCAACCACTGTTAGGTATGGGAAAATTGTCGTTTACCCCAAGAAAATATTAGGTCAAAATGAACAGTTGTTATCCTTTTTTTATTACTTAGGGCCCCTTTACACTGGACGGCGTCCTTTCTGCGTCCAGCAGTACGGCCCCATTTAAGAGTTAAAAAGTTAAAATACTTTACGTTACGATAACTGGCCGATCATAAAGCATTCATTCTGATACAAATTCAATGCTCGTGCTTCCTTATTAAGACCACAGCGATGCCAAATTTCATGGTCGCAGAAAGGACGCAGAAAGGACGCCGTCCAGTGTAAAGGGGGTATTAGTGTGCATTGGTTTAATACTTGTTTAAGAATTAATTAATCAGAATTTATTGAGATCTTCTTACGAAAATGTTTTGAATACTTAATCACTTAATGAATGTACTTTACTTTAATGAATGTGTCAGAATTAATTATTGAATTATATTTATTGAATTCTTTTTGTGAATTAGTTTTTGACGTTGTTTGTGATCTTTCGATTATCTGAAGTTGAGTAAGTTGTAGTAACATACTTTAATTTTGTGTATTTTATATAACGTATCCTTATCGTACATTTTATGTACAGACATTAATGTGGAATATTTTTCTTTGGTTACAAAAAGGTAGAAATCCTAATTATTCTGGAATCTTTGCTTGCCAATGGACCACTTGACCTCCATAGTTGGCTTCTTTTTGAAATCTCAGATATAATAAGATATCATTACAAAAAACAAACTTTTTCGAAAAAGATTCGTTAACCATTGTTAGGTATGGCAAAATTGTCGTTTAATTACCCCAAGAAAATATTTGGCCAAAATGAATAGTTGTTATCATTTTTTTATTACTTAATGTCCATTAGTTTAATACTTGTTTAAGAATTAATCAATCAAAATTTTGTGTATTTTAATATAACGTATCCTTATCGTACGTTTTATATACAGACATTAATGTGGAATATTTTTCTTTGGTTACAAAAAGGCAGAAATCCTAATTATTCTGGAATCTTTGCTTGCCAATGGACCACTTGACCTCCATAGTTGGCTTCCTTTTGAAATCTCAGATATAATAAGATATCATTACAAAAAACAAACTTTTTCGAAAAAGATTCGTTAACCATTGTTAGGTATGGCAAAATTGTCGTTTAATTACCCCAAGAAAATATTTGGCCAAAATGAATAGTTGTTATCATTTTTTTATTACTTAATGTCCATTAGTTTAATACTTGTTTAAGAATTAATCAATCAAAATNAATAAATCAATCAAAATTTATTGAGATCCTCTTACGAAAATGTTTTGAATACTAAATCACTTAATGTACATTACTGTAATAAATGTGTAAGAATACAAGCCATATTTATTGAATTCTTTTTATGGATTAGTTTTGACATTGCTTGTGATCTTTCGATTATCTGAAGTTAGTAAGTTGTAGTTACATACTTTAATTTTATGTATTTTAATATAACGTATCATTATCGTACATTTTATATACGGACATTAAAGTGGGATATTTTTCTTTGATTACAAAACGGTAGAAATCGTAATTTTTTCTAGACTTTGTGCTTGCCAATGGACCACATGACCTCCATAGATGGATACTTTTTGAAATCTCAGATATAATATCATATTATTACAAAAAAAAACTATTACGAAAAAGATTCATCAACCATTGTTAGGTATGGGAAAAATGCCGTCTACCCCAAGAAAATCTTATGCCAAGTATAGATAAAAGATAAACCTTCCCTGAATTGAACCCGTGCTGCCTGGGTGAAAACCAGTAATCCTAGCCACTAGACCATACCGGACTACACATCCCCTTGCTAACTATCAGGGTTTCATGTCTGGGATAATTTCAACTCCAAAGATTAGGAGGGAGATGACGATTTTTGTTTTGCAAAATTGCTCGCTTAATTCTCCGTCTGTCGTTTTGCAGGTGCTCCATTTAACCCAGCACCTATCGAACTAGACAGATGTAGAAAAACACGTTTTAATTCATAGCATCAAAAACATTTCTTCAACATTTAAAATTGGAATCAAAGGAACTGCTTCCGGTACGGGGAATCGAACCCGGGTGGCCTGGGTGAAAACCAGGAATACTAGCCACTGGACCATACCGGACTGCGTATTCTACTCACTAATTATATATAGTTTATTCCTGGGATAATTTCAACGTACTCCAGAGACTAGGAAGGAGATAGCGAAAAATTTTTTTTTTGCAAAGTTCCTCCCTTAATTTCTCTATCTAACGTATTACAGCTGTTCCATTTAATCGAGCACTATCAAACTAGATTGGGGTGGAAAAGCACGTTTTAATTCACAGGATCAAAAATCTTTATCCAAAATTTAAATATCACAAACCCGGACCGCTTGGATGAAAACTAGGAATCCTATCCACCACCTGTAGACCGTACCAGAGATACGTGTCATATGGAAATCATAAATACTCTTCGTATGGGGTTCTAAATTCCACTATAAATACATTGTAAAAGAAATATATAGACACACATAGAAATATAATAACCATGACCCTAGTCATTTACTTCCTGATGATGGTGACTGACAGTCACAGAAATATTGGAGGTAATACCCACATATTTTATAAGGTCTTGATAAAAAGAAAAACGATAATTTAATTTGATACATACAGAGCTAATAAAACTGTTCTCTTGTAATATGTTTAGTCTAACATCTTTATGTATTCTTATAAGGCTTGTCTTGCAGCCGTGTGTTGCCGTCTTTTGGACGTTTCCAGGGAGACTTTTGCCTCGTTTTCGACCACTTCATATCGACGGTCCCTTCCTAATGAGACTTTTTTTTCCCTGGCAACGAAGTCGGATGCCAAGTTATTACTGTACTGTTCCATAGAAGTTTACTGTTTTTTCCTCTGGATGAACGCCATTGCATTCGAAATCGTCACTGACATCCGACCGATCGGAAGGGTCGAGAAAACGGTTCCTCATGTACATGTACCTCATTGCCAATTTGTTACACTGTATCCGATGTT